TCGTCATGACGATTAGAATTTACAGTGATAATGAATCCTGCCATGAACCTATCGTAACTTTTTGGATGCGGTAGTTGACTTAGTGTTAAATTCAAAATAATTATTACCTTTAGATATTTGTTTAAGTAGATTTTGGCAGTAGTGAGTTACAGTAATCGTAACTATCTCACCAGTCGGACGTTGTAGCGTAAAAAAAACAAAACTTCATCAGGAATATGAGTTGGATATGACTTGCTAAAGTAGAAAACATCTTCAGTTATTTATTTTTCTTCTACAATCATCCCGTATGCATTTTGCCCCTTCTGTATTATTTATAGTTTGCATTTGGTTTTTGGACTTTGATTTTTTGAAAATTGAAAAATTTTCAAATTAGTGAAGAAACTTTTGTTTAAGGCAGAAAATTTCGGTGAAATAATGTGTGGTTCCCGACGACGAGCTGCTCTAGTTCGAGTTTCGAATATTTTGGACAATGAGCTTCAACGAATGTACTCTCAAGGACGAGCAGACACGCAGATATGTAACACTAGGCAAATTGTAAGTCCATTGGCTCGGATTATTGTTTAGGAAGTGATTTAAGGTATTTAAGACTCTTGTTGAATTCATTGAATACCTCTACTACAAAGTAAATGACGCTATAAATTCTTTGGACGGTGGCCAACATCGTGGATATCACCGATTAGTGAGGTTTCAGCACAAAACCAAGGACAAAGCGGTATGGGAACGTTTGACATTAAATCTATAGGATTTCTTTACATTCTCGTTACTTTTTTAGGGTTTACCCACAACAGTATTGACTATACCCCTAGCTGGTGAGGATCAATCTCTTCCACCACCATCTATCTGTTCTGGCACCATCTATGCACCTCCCGTAACATCACCACGAACCTCGGATGAATATGAAGAGTATGACAAGGTAAATCTACTCCGAGGACGTCCTCTTATCGATTATCGATTAGCTGGTGACGCCACAGGCAAGAAAAATTTGTACAGATCTCTGACGAGGGCTTCTATAACTCGTCCTCTCGACAGACTACCGTAATCGACGAACCGGCCACAAACACCACACTGTGTCGGGTACTGTACGATTTCGAACCAAAACACGATGATGAAATTCAGGTATAGAACTAAATAGTGTGTTAGTAATTTTAATTTTACAATTGCCTTAGTTACGAAGAAGAAAAATTAATATGTAAGAAAAAATTGCATTGCTTTCTTGTAAATTCCAAATTCCTTTGCTTGGTTCATCTTAAATTTTAGCGATTTCCAAATTTCTCTCATCAAATTGAGTTGAAGTCATCGCTTCTCATCCAACAAAGAGAAGGAAGCGCTAACCAATTGACACTCTTGCACCATTGTTAAATCGCTCACATGTGAGGAAGTGCCCGAAAACTTTTGGGCATTTTGTCCTCGTATAAGCAATTCTTCCGCTCCAACCTTCGCTTGAATGGCTAAGATTTTTGTGACATAATAAACTTGAATGTCGCAAAGTTCCATATCGAGCTGAATAAGGGTTGCAAGTTTCTAAAAGTACTGCCGAGCAAACTAGGAGAAAATCTATTTTTCCCAATCACAACATTTATCTGAAATTCTATATCTATCTCCAAGGTTTTTCCCATTTTTCCTAGTAACCCCATAAAGTTGTTTTTGC